GTGGCACCTGCAGCTGCTGCTCTGCCCTGGCAGCAGCACTGCCATGCCCCGAGGTGAGGCACAGCACCCGGAGTGCTGCAGAGCCACCCCGGTGCTGCTCGTGCTCCCACCGCAGCCCACGGGAGTCCTGCAGCTGGGAAAGGGCAAGCCACCCCATAAATCCATCATTTTACCAGGAAAACGTCTGGGAAGGTCACAGAACCACACAGTCACAGAATCACAGAATCACTGGGTTGGAGGAGACCTTCAAGATCATCAAGTCCAACTCAGCCCCAACACCTCAACTCAACCCCAGCACCCAGTGCCACGTCCAGGCTTGTTTTAAACACATCCAGGGATGGTGACTGCACCACCTCCCCAGGCAGCCATTCCAGAACTTTCTCACTCTTTCCACAGATGTCATGGTTAAAGTCACCAGAGTTTTGGGCTCAGCTGGAGGGAGATGTGGGGTGAGATGACAACAGAGCTGCACGAGGGTTCCCGAAACTCTGGCATCAAGCCCATCCCCACATGTAGGATTGGATCCATAGTGAAGGATTCATCCCTATCCCAGGTCCAAGGTGTCCCATCGGGGTTTTTTCACCCAGTCCCATAGGTCTGAGTGTGGAGTCCCTGTGCTGGCTCACAGCAGGATAAATCCTGGCCCTGGAGCAGTGAAGAGCCCTGCTTGAGGCAGCTGGGGACAATCCATGGGCGAGGAAGATGTGTGGGGGCAGGAAAACACAAGGCAGGGAAATGTGGCAGCGCTGGGAAAAGTCAGCAGTTTTTTTTTTTTTTTTCTTTTATTATTGTTGGGGTTTTTTTGTTCTTCTTTCTTTTTTTTTTTTTTCTTTCGGAAGGTGCCTGGGAAAGGAAGCGATTGTTTGGAGCAGATCTTGATGGCTCCAGGCCCCTCATTGGGGAGATAACCAGGCACAGCCCCTCCACCGTGTGAGACCCGGCCTGGCCCCGGTGGGAAATGTCCTTCTGCAGCTGGGCAGATGTTGGGGGGGCTGGGACACCAAAACCCACCCTCCTCACCCCCTCAGAGCTGCAGTGACTGGGGAGGGGGTCCCCCAGCAGTGCCACCCCCACAGCCACAGCTCCAGGCCGTGTCCCCACCTCGGGCCTGTCTGTTTGAGGCTATTTCAGGGGTAAGCAGGAATTAGGCAGCTTTAACTCCTTTCTGATGTTACTGCCAAAAATCTTGGCTAAGCATATGTAATTAGGGACTCGGTCATTCCTGGAGCTGTTACCCCCCTGCCCGGCACTGATTTGTAATATCCACGTCTCAAACACCACCAGCCTGGGCTCTCCTCCTTCCCACCATCTCTCGCTGCTCGAGCTGGAGATTAGGAAACAAGAGAGGGGTTTGGGGCCTCGCTGTCAGCCAGGAGATAGAGCCCAGTTTGCTCTGAGAGGGGAATTATTCTGGGTATGAATTATGTCATTTTCCTCTCCGGAAACGGCGCATGCTCCCGGGTGTCACAGCTGGCGGGGCCGAGGGGGAGGCTCCTTCCCCGGCACGTCCCAGCTCCCCCGACCTCTCTGGGTCCCCAAACCACGAGGAGAACAACGGGAGCAGCCAGAGGGGGAAGGAAAATGAGGGGTGGCTGCTTTTTGCTGTCCCACTCCATCCCAGCTGCCCGCCAGGCGGGGAGGATGCGGCCGCAGTTGTGCCGGGCTCAGCTGTGCCCGGAGCAGGGGGGATGTGGGGCAGATCAAAGACCCCGAGCCCCTCTCCCAGCCCCCCAAGGAGCCCCCAGCAGGGTCTGGCTCGTGGAGTATCCCAAGAATCAGAGCAAATGTTGGGGGCTGCGTCCCCCTGTACTCGGCGGGGCGGTTAAAGATAGACATGAGGGAAGGAGCTCTTGGGCGGGATGGGAACGTCGATCATGCAGTGAGCACCCCACAGCCTCAGAGCACCCCATAAAACCCCTCTGGGAGCTGCTGAGGAGCATCCAGCAGCCTTTGGCCCCTCTTCTGATGGCAGCCTTGGGAATGCTGATGAAAGGGAGCATTTAGGGCTGTGACGATAATGTCGATCGTGCAGTGAGCACCCCACAGCCTCAGAGCACCCCATAAAACCCCTCTGGGAGCTGCTGAGGAGCATCCAGCAGCCCTTAGCTCCTCTCCTGATGGCAGCCTTGGGAATGCTGATGAAAGGGAGCATTTAGGGCTGGGATGGGAACGTCAATCATGCAGTGTGCACCCCACAGCCTCAGAGCACCCCACAAACCCCTCTGGGAGCTGCTGAGGAGCATCCAGCAGCCCTTAGCCCCTCTCCTGGTGGCAGCCTTGGGAATGCTGATGAAAGGGAGCATTTAGGGCCAGGATGGGAATGTAGATTGTGCAGTGAGCACCCCACAGCCTCAGAGCACCCCACAAACCCCTCTGGGAGCTGCTTAGGAGCATCCAGCAGCCTTTGGCCCCTCTCCTGATGGCAGCCTTGGGAATGCTGGTGAAAGGGAGCATTTAGGGCCGGGATGGGAACGTCAATCATGCAGTGAGCACCCCACAGCCTCAGAGCACCCCACAAACCCCTCTGGGAGCTGCTGAGGAGCATCCAGCAGCCCTTCGCCCCTCTCCTGGTGGCAGCCTTGGGAATGCTGGTGAAAGGGAGCATTTAGGGCCAGGATGGGAACATCAATCGTGCAGTGAGCACCCCACAGCCTCAGAGCACCCCTCTGGGAGCTGCTGAGGAGCATCCAGCAGCCTTTGGCCCCTCTCCTGGTGGCAGCCTTGGGAATGCTGGTGAAAGGGAGCATTTAGGGCCACGCTGGCACCCTTGGCAGGCGCCGGGGCGCGCGGCCGGCCCAGCTGCTGCCGCTGGCGCCAGAGCTGGCGGCGCGGGCCGGGGGCAGGTGGACGGCTGGCTCGGCCCACAAAGGCTCCCCTTTCTCCGAGGCAGCGGCGGAGCTGAATGGATCCGCCTGATTTATCTGGCCTCGTTTCCTCAAACGGTTTTTCCGCCCCGCCAGCGTGTCCGTGCTGCCGCTCCCCCTCCTGCCGCTGGCACGGCCCCGGTGAGGGTCACGGCTCTGGGGGATCCCCCCTGCAGATGCCTGGGGAAGGGGACACCTGAGTGCTTTTGGAAGAGAAACCAAGTGGTTTGCCAGTAGAAGATGCTGGTGGAATTTGCTCCAGAGGCTCATGTTTACCCCAAATTGTCTCAAAACCACACTGGGACCTCCCTGCATCCTCCCTGAGCACTGAGCACGCAGAGGAAGAAGCACAGCAAAGCCCTGCTCCATCCTTGGGGGATCTCAGCCTGCCCACCCTGCACCCTGACCCCAGCAGCACCCAGGGACCCGGGGTTCTGCAGGAGAGCTGGGGCTCAGACATAAAAAGGGATCTGTGCTTTTTTTTTCCTGGTGCTATCTCAGCACAATATAAATTAAAACCCTCTCTGTTTGAGGATGCAAATACTGCCTGGCATGCCAGTGCAGACTGAGCGAGTCACCCCGTCTCTGAGCAGGGCCCAGATCTGCTCATTTCACTATCTCACCCCGTCGGAAATCTTAATTAAACACTGCCTTTGATTTGGGCGTGCTCCTGCACCCCGTGCAGCTCCTGCTGGGGCGTGCAAGCCCCCCCCAGCACCCACCCACTCCTCCTGCTCAGGGGAGCACCCTACACCCACAGATCCTGGGGGTGATGGGTGGAAAACCCTCCTGAGCCAGGGGGTCCCTGTGCCTCCCTAAGCACCGTGATGTGGCACCACACACGGGGCAGGTGTGGTAAAACAGGACCTGAGGTGGGAAAATCCTCATCAGCTGTTGAAGGCTGGGACTGGAGGCTGGCTGGAGGTGCCTTTTCCTTCCAGGGTTTTCCACTTGAGTTGACATCCACCCAGACAGCCACACAAGGCTGCGTGTGGGTGCTTAAAAACTTTTTAAAAAAGAGAAATACCAACCCCAAGAAGACACCAGGGCTCGGGGCTGCTCTTTGCACACCCTGGTGACAGATAAAAACCCATCCACGCTTATCAGAGACTCCTTCCCCCAGCATCCCCCCAGCCCTGGTGACTTTTGCTGGCGCAGCCGCCTCCTCCTGCTGCCGGGGGGGTTCCAGAAGCGAGGCGGGTGCCTGACAGCTCACAGATGGGGCAGAGCAGCAAAGTAGGACAGCTTGGGGAGGCAGCTCTGCCTGCTCGGCCCCATTGTCCCCTTTTCTTGGCGGGAGGACGCGCTGCGCGGGGCTCAGCATCACGCCGGCGGGTTTCCATGGCATCTCCCTGCCAACCCCAGCCAGTGCCTGCCCCATCCCGGCCCCTCCGTGCCTGCTGCCCGCCTTCTCCTCCCTCCCTGCAGCCTTTCCTCCGGGCTGCAGGATGAGCAGCCGTTGGGGATGGAAGCTGCGGGCAGGAATTCACTGACCCGCTGGCAGCTGCTCCGAGGATGTGTTTCACCTGCCCGCTGAAATCTGGGACTTTCCTACCTGGCTAACTTGGACCAAGCACAGGATCAGCTCATTTGCTGCTAATTTGCTATTTTGTTCCTGCTGCTCTGGCAAATATTTGTGTGTGGTATGTGTGGAGAAGTTCCTCCTTTGTTCAGCAGCTTCTCCCTGTGCCAGTCCCTGCAGCAAAGGCAGTCTGGGCTGACTGTTGATGTAAAGTGGTTTGGCAAGGAAGATCCTCTCTCCCCAAAATCTCCATCAGTGATGGCACCAGGCTCCACTTCCCACCTCTCCCCCTCCCACAGACCAAGAGAAGAAGGGCTGAGCAGGGAAGTGAAAAGTCTGTTCTGTAGGAACCCACAGCCAAGTCTGCACAGATTTCAGGCATGCACTTCTGCAGACTCCTCTGTAGCAGAGCCAGAGGAGCTCCTGCTTCCCAAGGCATGGGGACAAACTGTTCAAAGACTCCGTGCTGGAAGTCTTGGTGACCTGAGAAACCACCAAATCCCAGCTCAGGGCACCTGAGCTTGCTGGAAATACTGCCCTGTCCCAAGGACCTGTTCCTCCTGCAGCCAGTGTGCTGGAGCAAAATATTCCCTCATGGAAAATCAGGGGTTTTATTGGGTGCTGGGCGGCCCCACAGCTCCTGGGATCACCCCCAGCCACAGACAGTGTCTGCTGCGGTGCAGGGAGGGGTTGGAGGGATGGCAGGGATGGCTGGGAGCACTTACACACCCTGGTCCACCCTGTGCTCCTCACAGAGCTCCAAAATGAGGGCAAGCACCATGCCAAATCCAGCCCTGAAGACAGAAACCGAAATTCATTTGCTTTGTTAATTACCTAATTACCCTGGAGATAAACAACAGAGAGCATCTCAGGGGCCTTTCAGTGTGTTGGATGTCAGATCCCTCCGGCCTCTGAGCCCACCCATGGCACAGCAGATGGATTTTGGGGTGCCTTGTGCAAGGGGCACTGCTGCTGAGCAGGGCAGCAGCTCAACTCCCACCCGCCAGGGCCAGGAAAGGAATTTGGCCTCGAGGGCCGTGGGAATTAGGATTCCTCCGAGCTTTGCAAACACCCACCCGGTGTGGGGCTGTGGGGTGTGGGATGTGTGGGTCCAAGGAGCCTGAGATGCACCACCCCAGCTCCACAGGTGCTTCCACATCCACCTGCTGCCCCATCCCGCCGTGCCGAGACAAGGGCGGCTGCTTCCCGCACCCTCCCGCTGCCGGGATGTGCCCGGGCAGGTCACCCTCACCTCCACACAGCCACCCAAAACTGGCTCTGCTGGAGTTCAAAGGTGCAGGGATGTCCTGGGGCGCACGGAGAGGGGACTGTGCCGACACGTCGCCCGCGCGTGGGGTCCTCGTGCCTCTGTCGGGAGCACCACGAACCCTCTGGAGCTGGGAAGGAATGATCCCAGCTGGGATACAACCCCAGCCACCCCTCACCCTGCCGTGGCCAGGTGTCCCCACGGTGCCAGCGCGCCCTGAGGTGCCGTGGAGGTTCGTGGGCAGGGGGTGCTGGGTGCTGGGGGTCCCCGAGCTGGCTGAGCCCCACGTTCTCGCAGTATTTTCATGGAGCAGGCAGAGCTCCAGCTGGGGCCCAGCCAAAACCAACCCATTCGTTCCAGTCCCCATCTCAGACTGGGCTTTGGAGCACCCACAGCCCAGCGAGCGGGGGGACGTGCCCAAAGCCAGGGCTCCTGCCCTCCCCAGCCTGTGTCCCTCCAGAGACAGCTCTGGAGCTGTGGTGTCACAGAATGGGTGGTGGGGCTGTGCTGATTTAGCCATGGGATGATTCCCTGCTCCCAAGGGCCAGGCTGATCCCAGGAAAACCTCGTGGAGCCAAAGCCCAGCCCGGTGTGGTGGCAGGGAGAGCGCAGGAAACGCTCAGGCTGGGACTGGGGGGATGAGGAATAGGGAAAGAAATCTCAAACCCTCCCTCCATGGGATCCTAAACGCCTTTGGCACAAACGTGCCGCTTGCTCAAGCCCCGAGGAGGCTCCGGGGGGCCGGGGGCGTGCAGGAAGGCAGCTTGAATGATCCCAGCGGCCTCTCCAGAGAAAAGCTTTGGAAAAACTCTCCGGAGCCTGGGAAAGGCTCTCTGTGCCAGGTGACGCTTGGGAGCGCAAACCCTCTCGGCATTTGGGATGGCAGCATCGCAGCCAGCCGGGTGCTGGGGCTGCGGAGGCACGGGCAGCTCCCGGCTGGCTGTCCCGGGGCTGGGATGGCTCCAGCTGGAGCGAGAACAGCCCCATGGCCCGGCGGGGCTCGGGGGGAGCGGGTGGCACAGCTGGACACAGCGGTGGCGCTGGGGACACCCGCAGCTGCCGGAGCCGGGATGCTGGAAGGGCTCAGCTCCATCACTTTCCCTTACCGCGGTTTGGGGTTTTGTGCTCGGAAAGGAAAAAAAGGCCCCCAAAAGTTTGATTTTCTCCGCCCCACCCCAGCCCCGCCGCCTCCTCCTCGCAAGCAGCGCGAGTTGAATTTAATGTTGTTAGTCAGGCAGAGCCTGGCTGGCTGTGCCGCTCTGCAAGCTGATGGGGAAACCAATTGAGGGCAAAATTGCTGCAAACAATTGTCCTTTTGTCCCTTTCCCTGGGGTCTGTCTGCCAAGGTTAGTGGAGCTGAATAAAACTCACTTGAGCTGCAACTCACACAACATACCAAGGGCTCCTCTCGGGGCTCGGCGGGGCGAGAGGAGGGGGAGAGCAGGGACGAGGAGGATGGGGAGAGGAGGGAATGGAGAGGGGAGGCCACACCACCGGGCACTGGGTGTGGAGCTGGGACAGGGAGCATCCTCCAGCCCCAGGCACTCCATGGGCATCCCCCAGCAGTGGCTGAGCCTCAGGGATTGGGGCTGCACCTCCCCAAACGTGGCTCTGTTCACCCCTCAGCACCCCAAAACTGCCAGTGCCGCCTGTCTGAGGAGCCTGGGGAGGCCACAGCTGCCCTCCCATCCCCTCCTGCCCAGTGCCAGCCCAAAAGCAGTCTGGCCGGTCCCTCCTCATGCCCTAAGGAATCGTTCCTCCGTGCCCGTGGGCAAACCCCTGTAAAACACACGGAAACCAATGCCTCCTCCAAATAAATAATAGCACACTTGTTTGATTTCCTGAGCACAATAATTAAAAGCCCGGGGGCAGGAGGCATTGTCTGAGCACCCCTGGGACCCAGCTCCCTCAGCTGACTCTTTCTGTTCCCCCAGTTATTCTTTCGTGCTTTTTTTTAGCTTCTCTGTTGGCAAATGAAAAATAAAAGCACTTTTTTTCCATCAATCTGGCTTTGTTACTGGAAGCTGATGCCTGAAAAGAACTTCTGTGGGTTTTTTTTTTTCATGAGTAATGAGCACTTCTGTTCTCTCTGCCCAAACATGTATGTGTTTTCCCATGGGGATGCCCCTGGCTTCCTCTTCCCCCACTCCTCCACGTCTGTCCCAGGAGATTTCTTGTGTTGTCTGTGTGATATATTAGAGTCACTTTTCCCTTTCCCTGCCATGGTGCTCCTCTTTAGGTATTTCCTCACCTGCCAGGTGGTGCAGCAAGGCCCTGGTGGGACCAGCAGGTTCGAGGTGAGGAGCTGCTGAACTTCTGGGCTGGCACATCTGTCCCAGCCCCATGCCAGGGGAAAAGGGGCATCTCAGAAGGGCAGGAGAAGAGGCTCAGCCTCACCAGCACCTGACACAATTCTTGGTGCTCCTCTGCTCTGATATGGAGACCTTTCAGCCAGAGTGGCTGATGCAGCCTCCAGCCACTGCCAGACCGTGGTGGGAAGCTGCGACGTGCAGGAAAAATCAAGCAAAATGACACCAAAGAGGGACTGGCTGCTTCCCTATTATCATTCCCGGGTTTGTTTGCAAAGCTGCACTGGGCAAAATCCAATTTCTGAGACTGTCTGGGAGCTGTTTTCTAGGAACCAGCTGTGGGAAGGCCGGGGGACGGGCGGGCTGGTGGCGGCTGTGCTGCCGTGACAGGAGCGTTTCGCCGTCAGCACGGGCAGATTTCGGTTCCTCCTGGGATCCTCTGCCCGGAGCAGAGCGGGGCTGTTCCCCACCTGCAGCCCCAGGAAAAGCCCCTCCCCACCCCCAGGCTGGGGGATGTGCAGGAGAGGGGAGAGGGGCTGCTCCAGCTGCTGGGATGAGCATTCCCACAGGTGACGCTGCTCCAGGTGTTTTTATCCCCCCTGGAGGCCCCAATTTGCTGAGGGATGAGAAATCTCTCGCCTGCCTGTGAGGAGCAGCTGGGACAGCTGCCCCCAACTCAGTGCCCCAGCACAATCCATGTGGACACAGCTCTGACCCCTGGGACACCCCTCGTGCCAGAACTGTGCACACCCGTTACCCCAAAATCCTGCAGCATTCCCAGGAGAAACCTCCAAGAGGGACCTCAGGAAGGGTCCCATCACCTGGCCACCACCACAGAAATAGTTTGCCTTCCCATTTTTAGCTTTGCTGATGAAGAAAACCAAGAAACACCCCCCAAATGAGCTGCAGGAAGGGGGAAATGCCTGAAAATGAATCAGCCAAAGCCGGGCACCGCAGTTTGCAGCCAGGAGTGCTGGGAAGAGCTCAGCATGCACTGCACCAGTGTGGCAATTAGGTTCATTTGCCAGGAAAACATCCTCAAACACCAGCTGAGTGTTGGTTAACCAGGCACTGGGTTTGGTTCTTGGTTTGGTGAGCTGGAAACCAGAGAGGCAAAGCAATATCCAAGAGAGGTTTGCCAGCACTGCCCACAGAGCTGTGCTCCCACCAGCCCAGATGTGATTCTCACCCAGAGTGGTTTTAGTTTACAGTTGTGAAATGCAAAAAAAGAAAAAAAAAAGTCAAGCCCAAACCATTCTTTTTATCCCTTTTTGGCAAGTTCTGCTCTGAAAAAACCTCTGAGTGCTGTAGTATTGCTGTCTCTTTCCAACCCAGAGCCTGCCTAGTGATCTGAACCATCAATGAAAGCTGCTGCCCCGGCCACAGCAAAATGAGGCACTTTCAGCAGCCTCAATGTGTCGTTGGGAAGTTGCCATCAAACGCTGGTTAAAAAAACACAGCAGAAAAAAAAACCTCAAAACAAAGGCAAGAATACAAACAGACAGAGCTTGGGATCAGACCGAAGGCAGGAAAAAAAAGGGAATTATGAACTATATTTACTCTGCCCGAGATCCTTCGCTGCCTTCGCTTCTGTGTGTGGTCATTTATTCACCGAGGGCCAAAGCGCAGGAAGCACTCGGAGCCGGCGGCTCCTGGAGAGTCACTGGAGCTGCTGCAGCTGCCAGGGCAATCCTGGATCCCTCATCCCTCAGGGACCCTCTCCCAGCAATCCTGGATCCCTCAGGAACCCTCTCCCAGCAATCCTGGATCCCTCAGGAACCCTCTCCCAGAAATCCTGGATCCTGGATCCCTCTGGGACCCTCTCCCAGCAATCCTGGCTCCCTCATCTCTCAGGAACCATCTCCCAGCAATCCTGGATCCCTCAGGGACCCTCTCCCAGCAATCCTGGATCCCTCAGGGACCCTCTCCCAGCAATCCTGGATCCCTCAGGAACCCTCTCCCAGAAATCCTGGATCCTGGATCCCTCAGGGACCCTCTCCCAGCAATCCTGGATCCCTCAGGAACCCTCTCCCAGAAATCCTGGATCCCTCTGGGACCCTCTCCCAGCAATCCTGCCTCCCTCTGGGACCCTCTCCCAGCACAGCCCAGCACTGGTGTCTTGGCCAGAGAGCACAGCATTCCCAGAGGCTGCTGTGGTGGTTTCCTCACTTCCAGGTGGCGGTTCCCAGCTTTTTCAGGTGGTTTTTCAGCACTGTCACCACCACCAGTGCCTCAGCAGAGCAGGCTGAGTGTTGGTTAAGTGGGAGCTGCTCCAACGTGGAGCCCAAATTTCACGTGTTCGACCAGAGGAGCTGGGGAGGGGCTGGTTGGGCACCCAAAACTGAGCCCAGCTAACTTGAGATTTGTAAGGCAAGTGCAGAGGAGTTCAGACCCACCCCAGCATGGCCAGGCTGCTCAAAAGCAAAAGACAGCAAAGGCTGATGGCTGCCTCCACATCATTTTCACTTTCATTACTTCGTTTTCCCACTGAAATGCCTCCTACTGGGGCACGGGGGTTTCCTAGGTAGCCCCAGGTGGATCCCTGACCCTGCTTTCACCCCTTTCAGGGGCAGCAGGTGGGGAAGGACTTGAAATGCAAAATCTCCCTTGCTTTCAGATGCTCTTAACACCTCACTGAGGCGGGCAGTGAAAGCGTGGGCAGCCCTGCCTGGCGCTTCACACCCAAGTGTGCAGCCCTGTGGCATCCCCAGCACCTCCACCAGCCCCAGACCAGCCCTGGGAGCAGCCAGAGGCTGCAGGAAGGTTTCCCTTTGCCTCTGCAGCTTTCCAGGAGCAGCAGCCCCAGCGAGGGGGTTCTGCTCCTGCGGCTGCCAGGGCTCAGCATTCCCACGTGCCTCCACGCAGGGTTATTTTTCTAACATTTCTTTTTTTAGGTTTTTTTTTTCCCCACTCATCCGGTACGGTTGTTGTGACACTGCAGTCAGCAAATATCATTGAGCAGTAGGAAACGTGAGGTTTCACTGCTTCAGTGAGATTCGGCTGATGAAAAGAGGAAGAGAGAAACCTTCTCTGAGAGGGTGTGAAGCCCTCATGTGCCGCCCCGCAGCCTTCTGCTGCTCAGACCCCAAAATCTGAGCAAGGTCTGCTCCAG